ACCCAGATCAGGTGATCAAGGAGATTGTACTACTGGACTCTACAGGATACATACTTTACGTAAGACCACCCTACCAAGACATAGCAGATCCATCTATTACATATAAACAAACACAAAGAGGCAGCCTATTAGGGAAACATGCTCCAAATGAAAAAAACAGAGACATCTCCCCAAAAAAGTGCTAAATGAAATGGAGGCAAGCAATTTATAAGAGATGCTCAAGAAGATGAAAAAGGACAGGGAAACCATAACAAAGGAACAGTCAGAAATGAAGAATACACTGGTAGGAATAAACACTAGGTTGGAGGAAGCAGATAATTGAATCATTGATTTGGAAGACAAGTTAGAAAAAAAAAAAACACACCCAATCAGAGAAGCAAAAAGAAAAATAATTTTTAAAATGAGGATAGCTTAAGGAACATTTGGGACACCATGAAGTTAAACAACATCTGTATCATAGGAATACCAGAAAAAGAAGAGACAAAGGGATCAAGAGCCTAGTTGAAGAAATAATGATCAAAACTTCCCTAACTTAGTGAAGGAAAACAACACACAAGTCCAGGAAGCACATAAGTCCCAAACAAGATGAACACAAAGAGCCACATACCAAGACATATCATAATTAAAATGGCAAAGGTTAGGACAAAGAGAGAATCTTAAAAGCAGAAACAAAAAGATAGTTACCTATAAGGGAGTTCCCATAAAACTGTCAATGGATTTTTCAACAGAAACATTTCAGACCTGAAGGAATTGACATGAAATATTCAAAGTGATAAAAAGCAAGGACCTACAACCAAGACTTCTTTACCCAGTAAGACATCAATGGATAGATTTTCAAGACAGAACATCAAAAAGGGAATAGTATGCATAAATGACATACTAAATCAGATAGATTTAATTGATAGCTACAGAGCATTTCACCCTAAAGCAGCAGAATATACATTCTTTTCAAGTGCACAGGCAACATTTTCTAGGATAGACCACATTTTCAGACACAAACAAATCTCAATAAATTTAAGAAGATTGAAATCACATCAAGCATCTTCTCTGGCCTTAATGGTATGAAACTATAAGTCAATCACAAGAAAAACACCGAAAAAGCGCACACACATATAAAGGCTAAATAACATGTTACTAAACAATGAATGGGATAAAAATGAGATCAAGAAATAAATCAAAACATACCTTGAAACAAATTAAAATGAGAACAAAACTCAAAACCTATGGGACAAAGTGAAAGCAGTCCTATGAGGGAAATTCATAGTATTACAGGCCTACCTCAAGAAACAAGAAAAATCTCAAATAAACAATCTACCTTTACACTTGAAGGAACTTGAAAAAGAACAAAAACAAAGCCCAAAGAGAGTAGGAAGAAGAAAATAATAAAGAGCAGAGTAGAAATAAATGATATGCAGTGTAAAAAAGCAATACAAAAGATCCTTGAAACAAAGAGCTGGCTGGTTCTTTGGAAAGATAAACAAGATTGGCAAACCCTTATTCAGACTCATCAAGAAAAAAGAAGAGGACCCAAATAAATAAAATCAGAACTGAAAGAGGAGAAATAACAATTAACACCACAGAAATACAAAGAATTATAAGAATATATTAAGAACAATTATGTGCCAACAAACTGAACAATCTGGACAGAATGGATAAAGTCTAGAAACATACAATCTTCCACAACTTAATCAGGAAGAATCAGAGAATCTGAACAGATTACAACTAGTGAAGTTGAAGCAATAACTAAAAATCTCCCAACAAAGAAAAGTCCTGGACAAGATGGATTGACAGGTGAATTTTTCCAAATATTCAAAGAACTAACACGTATCTTTCTCACACTATTCCAAAAAATTCCAGAGGAGGAAAGAATCCCAAGCTCATTTTATATGGCCAGCATTATCCTAATTCCAAAAGCAGATAAAGACTTTTAAAAGAAAGAAAATTAAAGGCTTAAATGTTAGACTTGAAACCATAACAATACTAGGAGAAAACAGACAGTAAAATATCGTACATTTCTCGTAGTAATATTTTTCTGATATATTGCCTCAAACAAAAGAACCAAAAGAAAAAAATAAACATATGGGACTACATCAAATTAAATAGTTTTTGCATAGCACATGAAACCATTCACAAAATGAAAAGTCAACCCACTGAATGGAAGAACTTATTCACCCATACATCCGAAAGTTATAAAGAAGTTATAAAACTCAACACCAAAAAAAACCCAAAAAATAACACAATCTAATTAAAAATAGGCAAAGGACCTGAATAGACACTTCTTCAAAGAGGACATACAGATGACCAATAATCATATTAAAAGATGCTCAACATCATTAATCATCAGAGATATCACCTCACACCTGCCAGAATGGCTGCCATCAATAAATCAACAAACAACAAATGTTGGCAAGGATATGAAGAAAAGGGAACCCTCAGGTACTATTGGTAGGAATGAAGATTGGTGCAGCTACTGTGGAAAGCAGTATGGAACTACCTCAAAAGATTAAAAATAGAACTGCCTTAAAATCCAGCGATTGCACTTCTGGTAATATATCTGAAGAAACCTGAAACACTAATTTGAAAGAACAAATGCAGCTCTATGTTCAATGCAGCATTATTTACAATTGCCAAGATTTGGGAGCAGCCCAAATGCCCATCATTAGATGAGTGAATAAAAAAAAGCAGCAGTACATTTATGCAATGGAATACTACTTGTCCATAAGAAAAAAGGAAATATTACCTTTTGCAAAAGCATGGCTAGACCTAGAGAGCATTATGCTAAGTGAAATAAGCGAGTCAGAGAAAGACAAATACCATATGATTTCACTCATATGTAGAATGTAATGAACAAAATAAACTAAAACAAAAAATAGATACAGACTCATAGAAAACAGACTGACAGCTGTCAGAAGAGAGTGGGGTTGTGGAGCTTGGTGAAAAATGTAAAGGGATTAAGCAAAAACAAAATAACAACAAAAAATCTCATAGATACAGACAACAGTATGGTGATTACCAGAGGGAAAGAGGGATGGGAGCAGGTAGAAGAGGGTATAGATGAGATAAATGATGGATAAAGACTTGGCTTTGGGTGGTGAACACACAACACAATATACAGATGATGTTTTATAGAATTGTATACCTGAAACCTATGTCATTTAATTAACAATGCCACCTCAATAAATTCAATTAAAAAGTTTAAAAAAAGAAACCCAATATTTTAAGAAATCAAAAAATTCATGAGCGGTTACTCATAAAAGAAGATCATTTTCCTTACAAAATTCTCTACCTTCTCTTAAATAGGAATGGCTAGGTGGGTTTAAGATATGAGATCACAGTAAAATTATTATATTGTTGAAAGTAAAATAAACTTGAACCATTACATTTATTTGTCATACAGTTAAGATTAGAACTAGACTATCAGGTTGTACATAGAATTAGAAACATTTTTATCCAATCACTGCCCATGAGGAGTCCTATAATATTTTACCCACTGTTTACACTTTAAGCACTTCTATTGCCTCTTTAACAAAAGCTACAGAAAACAAAATTTAAAAAAAACATGCAAGAGTAATAAAAAGGGAAAATAAGAAATTAAAAAAAGAAAACCAAGTGCTACATCTAAAGTTTCACATTCTTGAGAGAGAGAAATAACATCTTTCTTTTTTTAAAATGTATTTTATTGACTTTTTACAGAGAGGAAGGGAGAGGGATATAGTTAGAAACATCAATCAGCTGCCTCCTGCATGCCCCCTACTGGGGATCGAGCCTGCAACCAAGGTACATGACCTCGACCAGAATCGAACCCGGGACTTTTCAGTCCATAGCCCAATGCTCCATCCACTGAGCCAAACTGGTCAGGGCTAACATCTTTCTTCTATTGCATCCACTTAAGAAGAGGTTGACTCCTCTCATAAGCTGTGCTCTGATATTTCATGTAGGTAACCATTTCCAAAAACCTTATACTTGTGTAACACTTTAAAACTCACGGACAACTTTAACATAGATATCATTTGTTGATGACAAGAATAAGTGGAAAAGTGGTGAGTGTGGACCAGGTAAGGAGCATGGGGACAAAGGGAGAAGAGGCTAGGAAGAGTAGCAGTCCTGATAATAGTTATGAAAACAATATGGCACTGAATGAGCCTCACCCTACTCTGATGACCCAGACTCCCAACTTCCCCATGGCACTACAGCAATCTCTTCAAGGAACTATAATGTCTAGTTTGATGAAGGAAGAAACACACTTCATGTTGGATTCTCATATTACCTGTTTGGAAAGGAGAAGGGACTGTCCCTTGGATTGTTGACTCCACAACTCATCACCACTTCATACCTATATTTTTAAACAATAGTTATCTGCCACTTTTCTGAGAACACAAGCATCCTAAAGAAATGAGACTTCCTAGAACTGCCAGTCAGTCCTTCAGCCCAAATGGCTGATCTGCAGTCTGACAAAACTCAAGCCCCCAGGAATTCCACTTCTGGAAATATATCAGAAGAAACCCAAAACACTAATCCAAAAGAATATGTGCAGTCCTATGTTCACTGCAGTGTTATTTACAATAGCCAAGAGTTGAAAGCAGCCCAAGTGCCATCAGTAGATGAGTGGATTAAAAAGCTGTGGTACATTTACACAATGGAATACTATTCAGCCATAAAAAAGGAAATCTTACCTTTTGCAACAACATGGATGGACCTGGAGAGTATTATGCTAAGTAAAATAAGCCAGTCAGAGAAAGACAAATACCATATGATGTATACTTTTATGTAGAATCTAATGAACAAAATAAACTAACAAACAATATAGAAACAGACTCATAGGTACAGGGAACAGACTGACAGCTGTCACAGGGGAGGGAGGTTGTGAGGCTGGGTGAAAAAGGTGAAGGGTTTAAGCCAATAAATAAATAAGCAAACAAATGAATAATTCAAGCCCCCCCCCAAAAAAAAAGAATCAATACAGGTCCTCTGAAGAAATCACAAATATTTCTGTTACGTACCTCAACCTGCTGGCAGATCTGTATTAGCTTGGCCATTTGATTTTCTAGTTCGCTGTTACGCTTAACCAGGTTGGTGAGGTTCATCTCTAGAGTTTGCTATCATCGCAGAGTGTGAAGCAAGAGGGAAAAGGGTAAGAGGGGGGAAAAAAGAACAAACATTCAATGAGCTTGAGAACCAATACCATATGGAGATCAGTCATTCAGTCATCAAATACAATATTCCCTTTTTTAAAAATGTTTTTATTGATTTTAGAGAGAGAAAGAAGGATGGGAGAGGGAGATAGAAAGAAACATCATTAATCAGGTGTCTCCTGAACGCCTCCCACCAGGGATTGGGGCCGCAACTCCAGGCATGTGCCCTAACCAGGAATGGAACCTGCAACCTCTTGGTGCATGGGCCAACGCTCAACCACTGAGCCACACCAGCTAGGCGGCAAATACACTATTTCAAAGATTCAATGAGCACTTGCTATGGGTTAAGCACTCTTCTAAGCACTTAATAATACTATACATTTGATCCACTGTCACTGTTGGGGAAAAGCTGACATTCATGACTTTGTAGATATAGGACTTTAATGACATTAAAACAGCTTTATGTTTTCTGTAATATTTTTAACTTCTTAAAGTATTTCATAGTCAATATTTCATTTTACCCTCATAGTATACCTGTAATATAGGGAGAACATATATTATTATCTCTTTTACAGATGAGTAGACTAAGAAAACTATAATTTATTGAATGATTACTACTTGCCAGACACTATGCTAGACATTTTCATATATATCATTGAATGATCATAACAACCCATGAAGTAGGAGATGTCAACATTTTACAGATGAGAAAACTGAGCTTCAGAGTCGGGTAAAGTATTTTGCACAGTCATATAATTAGTATATGGCAAAGCTAGGGCTGTAACTCAGGTCTCTAGCATTCAGTCATGGCTTTGCTCCAGAATCCCATGATTTTTGTGTGTTTTTGTTGTTGTTGTTGTTGATAACATTTTATATTTATCAGTAGATTCCTTCAGAAAAAAAAAAATATGGTATTTTAAGTGTGGGATTCCTCAAAATCTAGCATCACATATCAGTTTCACTTCTTTGGCACTAAGGAAGAGCCCATGGAGATGCCAGACTTCAAAAAGCAAAGCCTGACTGTATCAAGATAGGACATCCATTGCTTATCACTGCTTACTATTATATAGATACTTTTAAGGTATACATTAGAAGCACTTTGCAAATCCGTTTAATATAACATAGTTCAAAAGTACTCAGAACTCTTAGCATATTTTCAGTTGAGCAAGCTACTTTCTCCCATTCCTTATGTAAGAAAATAAAATTTTATTTACTCTAGATCAGGGGTCCTCAAACTACGGCCCGTGGGCCACATGCAAATACAAATATTGTATTTGTTCCCATTTTGGTTTTTTTACTTCAAAATAAGATATGTGCAGTGTGCACAGGAATTTGTTCATAGTTTTTTTTTTTAAACTATAGTCCGGCCCTCCAATGGTCTGAGGGACAGTGAACTGGCCCCCTGTTTAAAAAGTTTGAGGACCCCTGCTAGATTGATAATGAACTTTTTATTCCTTCCCATTCCCGTCTTTAGCTCTGGTGGCTGCTTTACCCCGGGACCTGCCCCAATATCCACTCCTCTCTGACTCACCATCCCAACGCCCTCACAAAGTCTGTTCCAAATGTAATACCCCAACTTCCTGGCCCTTACACTATTATCATTTTTTCCCTTGGCCATGTTGCTTCATTGCTGTCTCTCCAGTTTTTATAGTTTGTAGTTGTTCAAAGTTCATGTTTTCAATAGGAGAAATGGGGAAGGGGAAGAGGACTCATGTACTTGGCCCCTTGCTACTAAAAAGCTGTTGCTGCTTAGTAACCTTGGCACTGTCCAATGAATCTATTCTAAAAGATGTGTTCCTCTGGATATGTGTATTTCTAGGATAGGCAGTTTGAATTTGCTTGTTCTCAAACTGGATTATGAAAACCATCTTAATTTTTGCTTCCCTTTTTGCCAGATCTCTCTTGGTTTCTTTGGCTTTGTTCCAATGGAAGTGATTTTTCACAATTTATTCCATTTTTTTGTGGTTTGGGCACAGTGTCTCCCCTGGTCTTCTTTAACTCCATGACCATTTCAACTGTGGCCTTCTCCTTAGCAATGGCAGAGAGGGAAGAAGGAAAAAAGAAGGGCCGCAATCATTGATTTGGGCATGATCTTTAAGCTAAGTAGATGTCAGAGGAAAAAAAAGAAACAACAGTTCAGAGATTTAATACCACAAAAGGTATTGAACATCTACTCTGTCAAGGTGCAGTGACTTCAGAGATAAAGAAGTGAGATTAAGATGAGTCTTGAAGGATAAGTAGGATTTTAATAGACAGAGATGGAGGGTGGCAGGGTGTTCCAGGCACTAGGAACAACATGAACAAAACTAAAATGGAATAAAGTATAGGACATGTTCAGGGAAGAGGCTTTGAGTTTGGCTAGAACAGAGGGTACAAGAGAGTAGTGTGCAGAGGAAGCAAGACTGGAAATGGAAATCAAGGCTCTGTTATGAAGGTCTTAAATGCCTAGGTGAGGAGTTTGTACCTATTTTTGAAGCAGTGGGGACTTTCCAGAGGCTTCTGAGTAAGATAATGATATAATCAGGGCTGTCGTTATGAGATCAAGCTACCAGCAACATGTGGGGCAAACTGAAACAGAAAAGCCTGGGACAGGGACACTGGTTAGGAGAAAGCTTCAGTGTTCAAGGCAGTTGGGAATGCAGGTCTGGGCCAAACTAATGTGATAATTGAGAAAAACACATTTCAATCAAGGATTTGTCACTATCATATATGCAGAGCATGCAAGAAAGGCAGCTGGATTTGGTAATTAGAGGTCACTGGTGACCTTCGAAAAATTAGTTTCAATAGACTTTTGGAAGTAGATGCCAAACTGTACCGGATTAAGTATGGAGGTAGTGATAACGTGGAGGCTCCAAATCTGGGCTCCTCTTAAAAATTTTGATCGTAAGATGAATATGACAGAGCTGTAGTTTGAAGAAAAGGTCCAGCTTAAGTTAGAGAGTGGGCATTAGTAATGGACCCGATCAATTTGTGATTATCTCTAGCAGAGTGGTCCAGATTCCTAGATCAATGGAAACCCAATATATTACAAATGGCTATCTTGACATATTAGGTAAACATAATGTAGACTGATGAACACAGAACAGCTATATTAGAAATCTGTGTTTCAAACTGCAATATGTTTCCATTCAAACATAGGATGCCATGGGGAGAATGTTTTCTAACGAGTACATGCAACCCGCTGCAACACTTGTTATGAAACTGATATCTTATAAATAATTCATACTGCAAAGCAGGACTAAGATCCCTGCTGGGTGTTCCTCATTTATGGCCCAGAACTGAGACTCATAGCTTCTGTAAAGCCACTGAAAACAAAAATTAGGGCTGAGCACATAATTTGGGGTCTAATTAGACCAGTGATGGCGAACCTATGACACGCGTGTCAGAGGTGACATGCGAACTCATTTTTTTGGTTGATTTTCCTTTGTTAAATGGCACTTAAATATATAAAATAAATATCAAAAATATAAGTCTTTGTTTTACTATGGTTGCAAATATCAAAAAATTTCTAAATGTGACACGGCACCAGAATTAAGTAAGGGTTTTTCAAAATGCTGACACGCCGAGCTCAAAAGGTTTGCCATCACTGGATTAGACTATGGACCTTGGGTTACCATGACAAAATTATGGCAAATGGCTATTTTGCTCCTTCCCCCTAGCAATTTGCAGAATACCAGCACATTTTTACAACAGACAATTACAACTGACAAGATGCCTCTAATTTCAACCTGACTTCATTAATATGAAAATGCTTTGAAAAATAAATCTTTGGCTAATAAAAACACCATCTGTTGATGGCTTTTTGCCACTGTTTTCTTATATTATGAGAGATAATTTGAGGAAAACACCAAGCATTTACTTACTAACTTCCTACTCATTTACAAGGAATTAAAGTCTCCCCTGAAACTGAAATTGATTCTCAATAATGAACCCATGTACAGGGGAGAACTGACACAATTATGCAGTATATTTCCACACCCTTACTTCTCATGCCTTGTACTGACTAATCACTTAGAACTAGATATTCTGGGCCACCCTAGGTTTTATTGATTTAGCCAAGTAATTATCTTGTCTATACTCTGGCTGAGTAAACAAAAAGTATATGTGTATATATATAAAATCTTATACTAAAAAGTGTCTCTATTGTTTGCTTGGTTTAGAAAAATTGTTTTATTTTGCTCTTTTCTTATGCAGTCCTATTAATGACTGGGCCAAGCTCCCTCTGTCTAAGCCTAATTAATGCAGTTTTCTCAGTACAGTTGAACTATGACAGTGAGAGAGAGTCAAAGTGGCAGGGGAGATTGGAATGGAGATAACTGCTGGGAGGAAACCGGGACAGGAGGTTGGCAAGGGGAGCAGGATGAAGCTCCCATTTCCTGCTGCAGGAGGTTACCTCTGGGTTCTCCTGTGCTTCCCATGTGTGAGGGTTAGAGAAGTCATTTGAGCTACAAAACTATGAGACTCTCTTCCCCTCCAGATGACTACATCATTAGAGCTCTCACAAAATTGTACATATGTCTAAATTGCACAAAGTGAGGGGAAGATTAGGTTTATTTGCATAAATGAGATTTTAAAAGGCCCAAGTTAGCTAAATTGGCAGACTCCTACATGGATGCCATTTTTACCCAAGTTCCACTTCATTTGTGTCATATAGACTTGGCCTCTTTGTCTTCTTTTATACCCTTCCAAAAGAGAAAAATATTTTGCCACTTCTGAGAAAATCAGGCACAGGCTATTCTTTTTCCAGACAGCATCCCATAAAAAGAAACGGTTTTTCTAAACCTCTCAAGTAATTGCTGGGGTTTTTTGTTTGTTTCAGTTTTCTAGATACAGGTTATTTCTGGTTACTTTTTCATTGGCTCCATCAAGAAACCTAACTATGCATCAAAACATCAGCTCTTCATTAAAGCTGGAGTGATTTCCCTGTTGGCATACACTTGACCATGATCTCCATTTGTCATGCT